TTTTAAACTAGATTGAGGAAAAAAAAAAAAAACAAATTTGGGGTCAAGGAATATGTGTAGAAACTTCATTTTTATTTTAAAAAATAAACTTTTATTTTTATTAATATTTTGGCATTACCATCTGTCATAATGTATATAGAAATGATATGAGATTTATTTTTTAGGACATAAGAAGTAATTTCTTTAAAAAAATGAGTAAAGATTTCAAATGATACCTTTCAGTATCTTGTATAATTACTAAGCTAACAGTGATATCAAATAAAAGTATTTTTTCAGTATATTAAGAAATTGAACTTTAAATAAGTGAATTTTATGATGTTTCTGTGTATGTTGTATTGACCTTCACATGATCTGGTAGTCTCATTGCTACTAAATTAAAGTCAGTTTACATGATTCTAGGCCATTTATCTGTTTTATTTTCTTTTAAAAGAATCTATACAACTCCATCCTCTACCTCATAATATTAATTTCCTTGGTTTCTATTCAAACGTATTTCCAAAAGAATATGATTCAGATAAGTATTTAAAGGAAACATATCATCACATTGAGCCAGGTATTATAGCTATATGTGAAAGGATTAAGCAGCTTAAAATACATTGTCACTGATCCTGGATTCTCTCCTCCTACTTGACAGCCAAGGTCATGTTTTCCTGGCTGCAACTATGGGTAATGTTTTTAAACAGTTTTGCAGACCCAGTCCTGCACACCTCAGTTAATGTATCTTTGTGGAGTAGTGGGGAGGACCACTTTTGTAATGATGTGTATCTTAAAACACACAAAGTTTTATAACTCATGCAAAACAGAGCTGCATTTATTTGCAGCTGCTGATGACAAAAATACCTCTGAGAGCAGCTTATTTTTATTTCCGCTTGGTTGAAAATAAGCAGAAACAAATCTTCCCACAATTAGGATGACAGGACACGTTCTGCTCTTCGTCTCAAGCTCCTCTTCTGCTGCCACACCCACTTGATGGCTGTGCTCTGCCATCTCCTGCTTCAGGGATCTGCACCCTCCTGACTCCTATTCCTATTTAACAAAGCTCTGACATCCATCGGGGTACTTTTGCATTGATTAACTTATTTCCCTTTATATGAAATAATTTCAAGTATTCTCCACCAGCCTTAGCATCTTCAGTCTTCTAGTCCTAATTATGAAATAAATGTTATAAATTCATGAGCAGGTGGTTCACTGAGTTGCTCAAATACCTGAAATCACAAAATACAGTCAGTTCTGCTACAATGCTTTCTTTGAGAACATGAATTTGTTTCAATGTAATTGAGATATTTGGGAAAAATTTAAGCATAATGCAAATTTCACATTTGCTTCTGTGGGAATTCCTCTGCCAGAAACACTAGGAGAACTCAAAAATCTGCACCCAGCTGAACCTATCTGCATACGAATATGCAAAATTCAGATGTCATCCATCCCAAACTTCCACGAGCTACCTCAGTTCACTATGTGTGCTGTGAATCACATATGTCCACATCTGATGTTACAAATTTCATCTGATTTCTGACAATCTACCTTTTCTCACAATAACTTACAAGTTGCTATTTTTATATTGCTTAATTTTGAAATAGGAAAACTTCACGTCTTCCTTTAAATTGTATTTTATTATAGAATTTATGTATTTATAAACCATTTAATATGTATAAAACTGTGCCATCGTATTTATTAAGTTCTTATCTTTTTAATGTGTGACTGATGAAGTTTTTGTGTTGCGTGGTTTTTGCTACACAGTTTTGCATAGCATGGTAAATATATGCAGCATTACAGCGAAACTGACAATATGAAACTGCCTCCATTGCCAAGATTCAATAGCAGGGATATCTAACAATACCTTCTTTGGGCCTATTTTGAGAACTTCTTATCTTTGACTCTTGTTTTAGTCAATTCTCAGTCACCACTCAAAGACCAGTTTTCTTTTATACACCTGAGAACAGTTAGGAAATGCATGAGCATTATCCTAGAGGATTTGGCTTTTATTAGGAAGGCAAGAGGTACTCTTGAAGAATTTTAAGCTGGAGAATGGCTGGGATAATAACAGGAATCAAACTCATGCTGTAGAGGGCTTTGCATAAAAGTTTCTGTCAGGACGCTCTGATTGTGACTCAAAAGCCTGTGAGCTCCTGGAGGATAGAGATTGTCTAATCATCTCAGAAGCCTCTGTGCTGGGCGTCCTGCCTGACCTGGAATGGCTCAAACTGTTTACTGAACTGAATTCCAGCAGTACAAATGAGGATTAGTCCTCAAAACGGTTACCAAGAGGCACTGAAAAGTCTTAATAATGATGCAGATAATCAAGTTCTCCCCCTAGACAAGGAATTCTTCCCTTAGATTTTAGAAAACAATTGTTTAATAGTGAGAATTAAAACAAAATGGTTTTTCATTTATCTTAACTAAATCTTACGCTTTTTGAGCTCCTATTTTATGCTTAATAATGTTTGGGCACAGTGCCTTTCCCATCAGGACATGATTGAAAATCATTCAATTCATCAAAAAACCAATAATCAGAACATTCATTTCCTCATAAGTGTTTTATTTAATTGTCTGTCGTGTATAATTTAATGTCTTCACACAGTTTGGCTACTTTAATGTCTTAAAAGACTTTTGGAATTTTCATAGAATCCCCTAGAGATGAAAATATGAAAAATCTTTCATTCTTATGCAATAATAATGCAATATCATTGCCTTCTCATACAATATTTATAAAG